GTGCATGTGTGCAGAGTGGGGGTCTGGAATGGAGGCTCTCTGGCTGGTGCTGCCCTCCCTTACGATAAGGCCCTTACATGGCGCTTGTCAGCCTCCCCATAGTCGCTGCCTATGGCTCAGACTGAAGCCTTCTGTGGCTGGTACGACCTGCCAGGTTTCTGCCCTTTCCCTGCCCGTTTTTCTTGTCACCCCCCAATTTTTGGGTAATGTTTTAGTACATGTTACAACACTTTTTAGCTTTATTGTTATTTTTAACTGGGAAAAATAATGCAAGAGGGATTTAAAAATACTTCTCATCAAACTTAGTGACTACAAAAATAGAACTGAGATAGAAAATTTGAAAAATATTGAAAACTCAAAGAAAAACCACTAGTAATAGTCCTATTATCCAAAGATAATATTTTAATGTTCTTTCTTTCTGGCTTTTCTTTTTCATACATACATACAAAGACCGTTATTTAAAAAAATAGTAGGAGTCATACCATATATACAGCTCAGCAGCCCATTTATTTATTTACTGATGCATTAGGGAGTATTTTTCGTTTTACTAGATATGAACTAATGTCATAATTGTTAATGGCTACATCTATCGGATTCTATGAATGTGGAATATTTTATTTAGCCAATCCCCTGCTGACTGCCATTCGGTTGGTTTTGGTATGATTCAGAACCTCTGCTGAAGAGACCCATGAATGAGAGCCAAGGTCTAATACATACACGGTCACTGGTCAATGACTATTGCCTGACACAGCCCGCACAGATGGAAGAAATGCAATATTAATAGGAGTACTCCATCGTAGCTGTTCAGGACTAATTTTGGAGAGGAAACAGATCTCTAGCAAGTTTTTGAGGGTAGGCAAATAGAAGGCCTATAATTAAGGTATTAGAATCAAGATTGCTCTATGCTGATTTACTCCTCTCTAGGCAGGCATCTGGTAGGACCCTGCACATGAGTAAATTCCCCCAAGTCAATTCTCTTCATTTGACAACTACAAAGAAGCTGGCAGGGCTGGAGGCTTTCGCAACAATGGTGCAAGGCAGAAGTGGCGACAGAAGCTCATGTTTTTCTTCCTCTCTAGCAATGGGACTGAAAATATTCTTCATAGACCAAGGCCGGATTTGAACTCCATAATATACTACCTCCTTCCACTTCATTTCTTCATCCAGTTAATCTCATTCTTTATAAAATAGTTTTCTTGGCCCCATTAAACAACTGAGTAAGTACTAAGATCAATTTGGTATATTTCTGTAGATTCAATATACTGAATAGGAATATACTGGTATATACAAATCTCTGCTGGGAGTTTTCCAGTTAATTGGAGTTATGGACGGTATTCCCTAGGCAAGATACAATTATTCTTATGTGCCTAAGACCTTGGGAGGCAAGAGATCATCTTCAGGAGGAAGGTACGGGGTACCAGAAAAAAAGGTATGTTCTTTATTGTTTTTATAAAGGAAAACACTCTTCTCCCTGCCACTAAAGCGACAACATTTAAGAGTTAAAGCCCTTTGAGAAAACTGAGAAATTGTTAGATACAAACCAGTAGTGGGTCATGAAAAGAATTTAGTGAGTTAAAATAATCAAATGAAACAGAAATGGCAGAGACTATCACATGAAGGGTAATGACTGTTTCATGAACACACATGGAGGTACAAATGTATATACATAGGTTTGAGTGTGTCTGAATGTCTATATGCAAGCATAAGTTGGCTTCTTACTATGAATCATGGTCAAAAGTTTGAAACCCATTACTCCAAGAGAAGCTAGATATAAAAAAAGTAAGATTTTAAAAATTATATACTGATGAATCATTAATGTTTTATACCATATATAGGTACTAGAAGGTGTCATAAGAAAATGAGGAGGGTTGACAGAAAATTCCCATCTCGAATGTCTTAAAACAGATGTGGCCTTAGGTGAAATTCCTCCTCACAACTTTAATCTCAATACCATGACATAACTTTAAAAATGCTTAAAGGCAGCTTGGCGCCCATGTTCAGTGGTTAGGGCGCCTACCACATACACAGAGGTAGGGGGGTTCAAACCTGCCTGGGCCTGCTAAACAACAATGACAACTGTAATTAAAAAAAAAAATAGCCAGGCATTGTGGCAGGCACCTATAGTCCCAGCTACTTGGGAGGACAAAGCAAGAGAATCGTTTTAAGCCCAAGAGTTTGAAGTTGCTGTGAACTGTGACTCCACAGCACTCTACCGAGGGTGACATAAGGAGACTCTGTCTCAAAAAAAAAAAAATGCTTAAAGGCCATCCTGCCTTAGTAAACAGAAGATAAGCACTATTTTACACATTCACATGCAATAAACAACTAAACATGGGACTTGGGATAATAAAAAATAACAGTCTAATCTTAATATGGTACTTCCAAATCACAGCTTTTTTCATACCTAGATGGTTAATATCCTCCAGTACATTAACTAACTCAGTTAGCCAGGGCAACATTATATGACCCAGCTGGGATTGCTGTATTACCATCTTACTCAGAATAAATGACCATACAGAAGTTTCATTAAGGTTACTAGTATGGTTTAGACAGATGACCATGGCTTGGTAACCCTAGGACCTCATCATTTTTCAACTTGCCCATGTTTGGTAGTATAGAACTATACAGCTTCAAAAAAATATTTGAATACTTTAAAAAAAACTTGACCTGATCCAAAGAAGGTATCTGAAAACACCTGTGACACCTGTGGTCTTACTTTACGCTTTCCAGAGACTCACCTCTGTATAATGGGTGGTGATCCTTTATTTGGGAGAAAATACAATTCAAACTCTTGGATTGTATTTTTTTTTAAGTGCCTGTGTTAATTACAAATGGGCAAAGTAAAGTATAGGGTTCCCCTCTCAATCAATAATACTGGATTTTTATATTTCACCTCAACTGACTGACCTAAGAGAGCAAAGTGGTCATTTAAATGACAGATTGCTTATTGACTACTCTAGTTTCCAGTACTAAGCTGGTTTTTAGAAAGCTGCATGCCTGGACTCTACTACCTTATATAGAAAAACCTTCAAAGTTATGCCCTCAGATAGTTTAATTATGTGTTATGTTGATTTCCACAGTCCTCAGAGTTGGCTGCCTTTTTGAATGTGTTTCCTATGTATGCCTATGTATGCCATGATGTACAATGTGTTGCACATGATGTACAATGTGTGGAAACAGCCATATGATCATGTCCTTATCATCTATAAATCTGCTATTGAAGACCCTGGTCATTAAGTTATTCCATGTTTCTTAAAATCTGAATAAACAAACAAACAAACAAAAAACTAAAAAAAAAAAACTAATCTGAATAAACTATAGAAACAAAGCACCTTGATATAAACTATCCATAATATCTGAGGGCATAACTGTCTTTGAAGGTTTTTCTATAAAGGTAAGGTATTCGAGTCCACGCATGCAGCTTTCTAAAATCTAAACATTCAACATTGAAAAGGACTTTTCTCTCTGTTAAACTGGTATAGTCTCAGATCATGAATATAAATTAACTCATTGTTCTTCTTTCTCAATGGGTTCCTAAGAAGCCCAATCCAAAATGTTGTGCTCAATTGCATTAGGTTAAATTTTCTATGATATTTATAGTCATTCCCTGTATTTCATCACTGAATTCACTGTTTTTTATTATTCCATTCAAGGGTGGGGCTTTAAAAAATGGTTTTTTTTAAAATTATTTTTTATTTTTTTTGAGACAGAGTCTCACTTTGTTGCCCTCGGTAGAGTGCTGTGGCATCACAGCTCACAGCAACTTCCAACTCTTGGGCTTAAGCAATTGTCTTGCCTCAGCCTCCCAAGTAGCTGGGACTACAGGTGCCTGCCACAATGCCCAGCTATTTTTTTGTTTCAGTTTGACTGGGGCTGGGTTCAAACCTGCCACCCTCAGTATATGGGGCTAGTGCCCTACTCACTGAGCTCAGTGAGAATCGCCTAAGCCCAAGAGCTGCCCAAAATGTTTTTTTTTAATTAATTATTATTTTTTTTCTTTTGCAGTTATTTTTTTGGCCAAGGCCAGGTTTGAACCCGCCACCCTCAGTATATGGGGCCGGCGCCCTACTCCTTCAGCCACAGGCGCTCCCCTAATTAATTTATTTATTTTGTAGAGATGAAGTCTCTCTATGTTGGCCAGGCTGGTCTTGAACTCCTGAACTCAAGCAATCCTCCTGACTAGACCTCCCAAAGTTCTGAGATTATAGGCCTAGTTCTACTAAATAGTTTTGTTGTATCTGTATCTTAGACTATAATTTAAGACCTTCTCAAAAGAAGACTGGATTAAAAATGATAAATGAAGAAATGAAAATTTCAGAAAAAGACTTCTATATAATTATGAATTGCCTGGTGTTAGTACTCAATACATTTCTTTCCGAATGATGGTTAGGCACAGAGGCTCATTCCTGTAATCCTAGCACTCTGGGAGGCTGAGGAGGAAGACTGCTTGAGGTCAGGAGTTTAAGACCAGTCTGAGCAAGAATGAGGCCCTGTCTCTCCCTAAAAATAGAAAAATTAGCCAGGCATAGTGGCAAGTGCCTGTAATTCCAGCTACTTGGGGTGGGAGGTGGTGTGGGAGGCTGAGGCAGGAGGATTACTTGAGTCCAGGAGTTTGAGGTTGCATTGAGCTATGATGACGCTACACTGCATTCTACCTGGGTAACAGAGTCTCTGTCTCCAAAAAGAATGATAAGTAAAAACAAAAACAAACGAACAAAAGCCCTAGGAAGAATATAATCTACTAAATCAATCTTCTGAATTGTAACTTGAAAAAAAATACACAAATATACACACATACACACAAACTTATTATTAGTCATTGTATAAAATTCTAAATAGGTTTTTGATTAGAACAATAATTTGTAAGATGAATCATGAAATTGCCATTGTTGTAGGTCAAAAATGCTTGAATACTGGCAATTTTATATAATTCAACCTAAATAGAATGAAATAATTTTGCAAATAAGATATGAACATATTAATAAGGAATTAAGTCTCACCTGAATGACCTCAGCATTCGATAGGACTTTCCTAAATTGGAAACTCGTCTGCAGAATGGACCCACAGCCAGCTCCATCTGAAATATTAAAAGATAATCTGTAGCTTTTACTGTCAGAATCCTGAGGTGAACTTGGGAAATGCATAGATCACAAAAAAGTTGGAGCTTGCAGTAAGTTTACTATTATCTGGACTGTAAAGCAAGTTTAGAACACCAACTGAATTTATTAAAAGGTAAAAAGTTAGAAGATGTCTAGATTTATTTACTAAAAGGGCCCATGATGAGACAAGTCCTTCATGAAACAGAAAAACATTTTTTATTTTATAACAGGAGAAAGTTTAGATCATTTCTCCATTGAAAAATAAAAAAAAGTAAGTTTTTCAAGACTAATTGTGTGTTTATTTTATTTTTATTTATTTTTGAGACAAGTCTCAAGCTGTTGCCCTGGGTAGAGTGCTGTGGCATCATAGCTCACAGCAGCCTCGAACTCTTGGGCTCAAGCGATCCTCTTGTCTCATTTTTTCTATTTTTAGCAGAGACCGGGTCTTGCTTTTTGCTCAGGCTGGTTTTGAACCCGTGAGCTCAAGCTATCCACCTGCCTGAGCCTCCAGAGTGCTAGGATTACAGGCATGAGCCACTGCACCCAGCTGTGTGCCTATATTTTAAATAAACACTATAGGTCATTTCATAATCTATACAAATGATGACTGTTTTTGTCTGTGGTCCAAGTGCTTAAAAGTATTAACTCTGCAGCTTCTAGTAGCACATTTGTGTCAGAATTCCAGATCTGGACTTACTAGTTGTGTGACCCTGGACAGCCTCTAAAAGTGTCAAGCTTTTCACCAATAAAATGGAGATAATCAAAACTACTTAATAGAATGAGGCAAATTAAATAGATACTTCCAGAAAGCTTTATATGCATGACATATAATCAGTGCTAATTAAATGTCAGCAATTATTATCAATGTTTAATTTAAAAGTTTTCATCTTTTAAATTACTAATAAATTAATTTGCTCCCCAATTTAAGAATTGAGCAAATATTAGTTTTGGTTCTTTTTATTTCCTTCTGTGACTAGAAATTCTACTTGACATGAATTAGCCTACCTGTTCTTTCCCAACTGCATAGGCAAACTTTTTGCATATGTGCTACTTGGATGATAAACTATTTCTCCATTTTTACTATAAAACAGCACTCTGGAAAGAATAGTTTAGAAAACAACTGAGAATAGGCTGCTCTCTGGTAATACAGTATCTTTCTCATTTCTGTATGGATGAGGTTTTCTGTCCTATTGATCATTCTTATGAAAACTTGTTCAAAATCTCCTTCCTTTGGGTAGACCACAGAGACCTAACCAATCATTCATATGAGAAACACTTTGGCTCCCTTATGGTCAGGCACTGAGCTAGATACTAGGATAAGATAATGAATTAGAGTGTTTTGCTTTCACTAATTTCTCAAATTTAATACAGAAAGGGAAATTTATTTATTCACATATGATTATTCAATAAAACTATAAGCTATTATTATTAAGCAAAATGCTAAATACTATGTCAAATGTATGACCTAAGTGTCAGGAGTAAAGTGGAGGGCACCTTCCTTGAGACAGCTTTGAGGATGAATAGTAGCCTGGTTAATTTCTCTCTCAGTGTGCAGAAGACACAAAGGGTATGGATACTCCATGTCGCAGAGGGAAAACTTACATGGTAGGAAAACTCTCTAAAATAATTTGAAGAATAAATTTTAAAAAGGAAAACAATTTAAGACAGAAAAAGTCAAGATTCTTGCCAATAATGCAAACAGAACAGTTGTGAGCCAATATTCTTAATAGCAAAAAATAGTGGGTCATGGGCTGTTCCTTAGGACCTGTTTCATTGATTCACTGGGCAGTTGTTCTGGTTTCTTTCAGAATGTATCATTTATTTTACAGTGAGTACACAAGAAAAATGTCACTATCATGTGTTTTTGATTTGGTAATTCCATTCATATACCTAACTATATACAGAGGTGCAAAAAATGTATATGCACACTTTAAGAAAGGAAAAAGACTGTATTAAATTTGTAATATTCAAGTCACAGTTGACTTCTGCAATTACAAGAGGTGCTCAATGTGACTTGTATTCCTGTTTTGTTATTGGTATATACTGAGTACTATGGTTTTAATATTGCTTTTTCCTTTCTAAAAATGTATATACATTTTTTGGCACCTTCTATATATACTATAATAGTTTTTTACATGCTGAAATTATGTATTTTTCATAAAATGTTTTTGTCCATTTTTTAATCAATTATACTAGTGGATTCATGTCTTCAAAAATCAATCATCTGTCTTTGCACGTGAGCAGGACTAAATATTAAAACAAATAAATGGCTAGGAAAAAGTTACTATATGAGAAAATAAGACCTCAAATGGCTATATAAGCTATGATAATGTAAAAGATTTCTATGCCATGAGACAATTTCAAAATGTTAAATGTTTAAAATAATTTTCATCTATAAAGGACCACTAGGGCATTAAAAATCATTTTCTTCTGCCAGAATTCCATTAAACAATAAAGGCTATGTTTTAAATGGCAGGACTGTTCCTTTTAGAGGAGGTGACTCTGCAATTAGCTATGAGTACAAAAATGGCACATACAACTGCTTCTTTCTACACTCCTGTTTGGAGGGAATGAGTGGTCAGCTGCAGGCGTGGTGAACTAATTACATAGCTGCTCTTTATCCACATAGACATTTGGTTAACCACAGGGCATCTCTGGATACTCCTAGGGCACTTCTATCCTGACAATGTTCAGGAGAAGAAAACGCAATAGCAAAAGCAAAATTTTCATATCTTGTTTTCTAAATTTATATTTTCAGACACAACATGAAATAGATATAAATGTATACTTAAAGGGCACTGGAGGATCAAATACAAACTGCCAGAAGTACCATTGAATAATTTAATGCCAAGTTCAATAGCCATCCTTTCCCTGGAGGAAGGAAGGAAACTGAGGGGCAGGGGGGCATGTACTTCAGAGGGTACTGTGGCCAGAAAGACTCACAGTCAGTAGAAGTCTACTGCCTCACCACACTTGGTACTTTCAGAATTGCGTGATTAGTATGGAAACCAAGACCATGTGGTCACAGGAGGGGATTAATTACCTGTAGGAAACCACCTTGTGCCCATGACCTAGATTCTTAAGGGGCCTGGATGCTGGGTACTTCCCTCACCATGAGCCCTCCAGATGGCACCCTGCAACCACTTTCTCTTCTTCTGCACTAGTGCCGACAGGGAACAGTCAGGATTCTTAAAGAAATCCTTAAAATACATCATTACCTTCCTGTGCTATACCAAGTAAACAGCGTTCCAAAACCTATTCTATTGGTCCTTTCGTGAGCTCTTTCTCTTCCTATCAATTATGCCAGAAGAGCAGGCACTTTTATCACAAGAACACTTTTCAAACCCACAGTTATCTGTACATTCTTGACTCCACTGGCCTCAACGGTCTTGTTTAATTTTGAATATAAATGATAGAACTTTCCATAATAAGGCTTCTGGTCCCTAGTTAATGTCTATCATGAACACTAAGGTGTGGGTAATGCTATTTAAGTGTTCTGACTGACCCTTTAAAAACACTTCAAACCAAGGATCATGTTGAAAACTGAGGCGCAACAACATAATTGCAGTTGTGGCAAGAAACCAATACAAACGAAATAAATTACCCCAATCAAATCTAATCTAAAAAAGACTGAGGGTAGCGCCTGTGGCTCAAAAGGGTAGGGTGCCGGCCTTATGTGCCAGAGGTGGTGGGTTCAAATCCAGCTCCGGCCAAACAAGAAAAAACAGATTGACAGAGGGGATCATGATGTAACAGCTGGACAATATTTGCCAAAGTTACTGATCATAAATATGACTAATTATAATAGTGCTTCTACCTATCTTCCCTGTGCCCGTAACCCATAGGACTGGAGCCATCTCCAAGGTGAGTGGCAAGATGTTTGGAAATTGGGGCACACTGCACAGGGGTAAAAGAGGAATCTGCTTCTCAGTACCATACTGCCTGCAGCAACCAAATGGCAATGCAGGGCTAGAAGATACATTTTTAACACTGAGCAAATGCTGCCTGTGTAAATGCCTTTTCTACATTTAAGAAATAGAAAACAGAGGCCTTTGAGTATAAGTTAGTATTAACGACTAATGAGTTTCATTTATTTTAAGGAAAGGCCCCTGAGAAGAGTTTGGCTTACTGAGCAACATGCCTTAAAAAGGAATGCAAAATAAAATTTTGGACAATGCAGTTTTTAGAAGGTGGAAGCTCACCCTGGCCGCTAGCTACTATGCATTTTAAGTATGCACTAGCTGCAGCAGCAAGGGTTAAAGGACAATACTTTCCATCTTCCCGGACTCATAGGGAATATCATTAAGATGGAAAAACAAAACAACAAGCCGCTCTCCTACAGCACTCTGGTTTTGGCCATCTCCTGTGCGGCTGCCACTCTAATTGGACTTGAAGTGCTGCCTCCAGGAAAGTGACTCAAGAACCAGCTGGAGCAGAATGCAAATAAGTTGGTGGGGGAGGGAGCCTAGGGAGAGAAGAGCATAGGGAAAGAAAAACAAAATTAAAAAGGAAAGGGAAAAAGAGAACAGAGACCCATCTGAGTACAATTTATAGGGGTTTTTTAAAAAATCAGAGCAGGTCCTAGTACATTACTGGGTTTTCATTACAACAAGCCACCGGTAACCCCAGTAAGGGACAAGTAAGGCACTACGTATGATTCTTTTTGTGTTCACCTGTAAAACAAAGCAAAATGAACAGGTGCCTAAGAATGAAGTTGACACAAATGGAAAAGGTAAAAAAAGTCATGTTAATGGTAACATTTAATTTCTATTCCCCTGTTGTGGCTACTAAAGCCATGTTTCCCCAAGGAAGACTCTCTTGCTGACCAGTGGCTTCAGGCACATCATTTGGGGATGAAAATGACTAACTGTTGCATTCACTAACATGCAAAGACTCTGGCTCCAGAAACCTTAGGTTTGTGTTACCTGTTCCTTTTTTCTAAGTATGTCAGGTCTGAGGGGCATGTGACTACCATAACCTGGGTACAAGCACTCTGCCCAGGTCCTTTCCTTGGTGCAGAAATGATGAACTGAGACACACTTCCAGATACATGCAAGCATAAATATTGACATTAACATTCACCTTAATAAACAGGGAGGACCTGGCACACTACTTTGAAGAATCCATTTGAATAACTGCTTAGACTAGAAAAGCTAACAGCTTTGAAAGTCTTAAAAAATGATTGCACACTTGACATGCTATAGAAATAAGAACCATCTCTGTTTCGGAATTTTTTTTTTTTTTG